GCTCATGTTCTTGATCACACTAACACGACAAGCTAACAGGCTAACAACTGGCCTTTACATCGATTTTTCTCTTCTCTTTAAGTTAGGGCTAAGCATTAGGGATTCAAGTTGCATTTGTAGGATGAGCTACCCTGTACCTGTGGAAATATTTGCTTTTGCAGTGTTTCAGATCTGTGCCATGTTACAGTACTTAACAGTTCTTCAAAGTGCTGACAAATGATTGCTTTTGTAACAACTGAAACACCGTGTTTCTCTTTCTGAAATGTGGCATTCTAACTTCATCCAACAGTAAAGGACCTCTCTAATGCAAAGCAATTAATAAAAGTCACCACCAGACAGGAAAGGATCCCCAGCTGTCCTGGATTTCCTCCTGCTGCAACTGTCACATAGACCCGTCTCTGAGATCCGAAGCAGCCAGGAATTTCTACCTGCTTTCAGTCTGGAACTGAGACACAGTGCAAAGGAGACTGTAGGATGTGCAGTTTTCCAAATGGCAGGTTTTTTTCCAAATCCACAGCAAAGAGCAGCAGAGGAAATTCCTGATTTGCCACCAGAGACAACTAATACAGAGATACACTTCAGGATAGTCCTGCATCACCTTGGCAAGTCCCAAAGGTGAAGGTTAGAATCTGGGCCACAGTGAAGTTGACAGCAACATCACCAGTCATGCCAGGATATTTTCTTGGTTCCTTAAAAGTGAACAACTGGAGGCATGGCTAGGATCCTATCTAGAATCAGACATCTGCTCCAAAAAACACCACTGGAAAGTATATCCTCATAGAGTAAACTCTTTTAGCTATTCATTTATGCAATACCAGTTGAGGAAAATGCCTGCAAAATTTGCTAACCTTGGCTTGGAGATACTGAAATTTACTAATACAATATTACTGCAAAATAGAGTTCACACTCTACCTAGAACACATGTGCAAAAAAACCCATAAGAAGTCAGTATTACATAGCTGACTTTGAGTGCAAAAATACCTCCCTCATCAATCCTTGCAAAAAGTCAAAATGTTGGGCAAGAATAAAAGATTGCTATACAATAAGTAAAACTCAGATACTGTTTTGCTTCATAAGAAAAGTTATCCACATTCAATTGAGTCTTCCTCCAAATCACCAAGAAGAAAATGAAGTGGTGGCATTAAAATATTTTCCAACTGCCACATCTACAGAAAATGTCAACACATCAGGACAATTAAACCCACTAAAAATCATCCAGGAAGCTGCTAAGTATATAGTCTCATACACTAGAGAACTGAGGGAAGGTAAAAGCTACTTCTACATGTCAAAATACCAAGGACTCTAAAATTGCCAAATCCTTCTAAATTTTCTTGACAGCTTGCACATACCACTTACTGTTTAAGATCATCATAAAGCAGTAATAGGCATATTCACTGTTAATTCTTTCATACTCAGTGAATATAAAATTGCCAGTGTTTCTCATGGAACAGAAAGTCACAGAAAACTTGCAGAAGCACTACTGCTAACTCAAGTGACATCAGAACAGCACAAGATTACCACTGGCTTTTTTCCAAAGAGATAATGAAAGGCATCTTGTAGCCATTATATATTTACCTCATTTTACAATACATAAAGCTCTATGCTCCAGACATTTATTTTCCTTTGGGCTGTGAGTGGAACACACAACTTCTACATTAGATTACTTCAGTTTTCACAGCACTCAGAAAACATATGCTATGACCCAAATGGTTATGTGTTGCTATCAAGAAAATAGGAAACTTGAATATTTTTTCTGTAATGTCTGATCAGATACGCTAACAACTCGGGTCTCCACAGACATATGCAAACTGGACTGTACATGTAGCCTTTAAGGCCAGAAACAGCTTCAGCCCTAAACAATGAAAATATTCATCCATTTATCTGTTATCTTTTATTGGCACTAATGAAAATCTATCAGAAAGATTATTCTGGGCAGATCCTTAGCACAGAGATCAGAAAAGTACTCTCATGAACTCCTCAGCGGTTTTATCACTGCCCTGTCTTAAGTTCAATTGTAGAGTTTTTTCTGTTGTGTATCAGGACAGGATACACCATTGATTTAGTAAGTACCACTATAATTTTGATGTAAACAGTCTTTGCTGCCTCAGAAAAAAATTACTTCTAAAAACTGCTTAAAAACATCAAATACATTGGGAGAATTCTGTTATACAGGTTGGGGTTTTTCACTTACTTTTTTTATTACTGAAGATAAGACAACAAGAGAACAACCACTGGTAGCTCACCTAAACATGTGTTTATTTCCTGGAGTCACTCTCTGAGCTCCTTTTTCTTAATACCACACTACTTCCACAGCTACATAACAAGCAAGGAAAATAATGAAGCTGAACCCTTTGACTAAAGAAGCTGTTCTTTTGTGAGGAAAGGGTTAATGATGTTCACCACTTGCATTCATCCACACCCAAAGATTAACAATGGATGTATGCAGCAAATAATAGAAGCAAAACACTGAAGAACAAGGAACTAAATTCCTGGTAATTAACTATCAGAAGGCAGAACAAATGACTAACTGGACAGCAAGAGAGTATATTTCTGTAAGAGTGCAGCACATTTTTAGGTTGTCATACTCAACATCAATTCTGGGAAATACCAGAATTCCTACAAATTTGTAAATTCTGAAAAGACAAGATGATTGTTCACTTGCCTAACAATTACTATGAGCAACAGTAAAGCTCAGATTCAATATTCGTCTTGTTTTGCACTTTGATGCTATATAATGATGCTACATATCCTTGAAGGGAAGAAAACACTTCGGTGTCTTATCTTAAGGGAAAAGGAAAGACCTACCAGAATCACAAGGCAGAAGAGAAAAGCCAGCAACCACCAAGAAGCAAAAGAAGCCATGAGAGACTGAAAAGCAAAAACTAAAGACAAGGCTTCTAACCAGCATTTGTTCATCTCCTAACTGCCATGGACATTTGCCCACCATCAAAACTTTTCAGGCAAAATGGCAAAACAGATGTTAATGTAATAAAAGTAATTAGTTCTTATAGCAACAGGGAATTAAATTATTAGACAAAATGAAGAGATAAAACTTCCCATTAAGGTCCCATTCACAAATAGCCTTTGGCACTATCGTAGTGGATGAAGACAGCCAGATTAAAATGAAAATGGAGGTTTAGGCATTCTCAGGTTCTTTCTCTGGGTGATATAAAATGCTGTAATCTCAAACAAGAACACCAAATTTCTTTGGAGGACTGACTGATCTTACTTGCTCCAGTTCACACACAACTTGCAGTAGAGTTCTTCAAGTTACTAGAACGGATTGCACAGGATTAGTATGAGAAGTCCCATACTGACTGCAGTCATCTCGCCAAGTAACACACACAGCATTCTGTATCTCAGTACAAGACAGCAAAATGAGTATCAACCCACTGAGCTACAGACATTGTCCTCAACTTCCTCCACATTGTTACCCTTCTGCACACAAGAAACTTACGCTATTTTACCTAATCTTGCAAGAGCAGTCCAGACTGGTCATATGCTGAACAAGTAAAGAGAATATATAGAACTTTTTCCAAATGTGAGGAATAAATAACAAAGCTACATGCAGTAAATAGAATTCAGCATTCGTTTCAAGGTGGGGGGAGAACCAGAACTGAAATTTTTTTTCAGACACATACTGAGTGCACTTCTTAGCCTAGATTAAAACAGATGACGTACTTGAGGATAAAACAAGACCTAAAAATGTATTTCTTCTCCTTTAATCTAGGTGTGCTTTTTTAAATTATCCTTTGCTCATTCAATCCAAGTTGTGAATTAACATAGACATTAAGATGATTAATAAACACTAGTATGTCTTTTCTCTGAAGGGATTTCTGATAGTACGTCTTCACTTGGGAGGGCATTCAAATAAAGTAAAAGAAAACATTTGTAAACCAACTGCATGTGCATTAGGGTCCAAAGAGTCTCGACATGAAAACTGGTTAACACTATATTGCATCAAGACGTATATAAATGAAACTTTCAACCAATACTCAGGTTCACTGTGTCCATCCATTTTTGACAAAAATTATTGGGAGTGCACAGAATTAGCCAGGGAAGAAGTAGAAATTTGCAGGAACAGAACCTAAATTAACAGGAGGGGCCTCCATCTACTCCACTGACCAACATGAAGGTGCTACAACAATTAACTAGTTACAGACTGAAAAGGCAGTACAACAAATCACAGCCAGTTTCCAACAACGTCAGCAACAAACTCACCTGAAGGCACTGGTACCATTAGTAAGGCAACTGATACAATTATACCCTGAATCAATATATTAAAAGCAACTCTTTTAGTAGGGGATAACAACTGGTATACATCAACAATATTAATCAGGGCTTTGATCCATTATGTACTGTTCATCCATAAGTATAAAATTTTAAAACAAATGTCCTTGTTAAATGGATGAAGCAGTAGCATATTAGAGTATTCCAAATTACTTCTCCACCTTTTTATAACATGTATTTAAGCATACACTTGACCAAGAGGAGTGGAACAAACCATTTGAAAATATTCATCTCTACCAGCAGAAGACGTAACACCAGTAGATAAAGAAAAACCTGAAAATAATCATCCTGCTTCCCTATCAAATGCCAAGAGTAAGAGCAAACTTTGTACGTAGGAGATTGAAAAATTTTCTTTTTTTTTTTGCATTGGTAAGTTTTTTAGTAGGAAATGTACTTCATATTTGTATTATATTCTGATTTTGCATTTCTGTAATGAGGTTTCAGCATTTTTCTGAAGCAACAGGTTAGCACATGAAATAAAAGGTCTAATTCCCTTTGAACAAAAAAAGTTTTATAAGCGTAACAACCCTTATAGGCACAAAAGTATTGACTGTGACGAGAAATTTACATTGTTACATGGTCTATATGAGGCTTTTCATATGAGACCAGGCTTCATACAAATAAGACTGGTATTATACAACACTCCTCTCGATGTTTTCAAAATTTTGGCACATTCAAAAAGTGCAGAGAGAGATGGACTCCAACAAAACATAAGCAAAGGGCATTACAGAACAATGAGAAACCATAATAAAACCTTTTCCTGAACTGTAAAATAATAGCGGTAACAAGGGAGAAAGAGAAAGGATGCTGGTTGATTTTCCTTGAATGTTGTCACTTGCAACAGAAAGTGGCCTGAATCACAGGGCAGTTTTCTCTCTAAGGGCAAGGCTTCTCTACCTTGCTGTTGCTGGCTGGACATGACCAGGGTAAGATCTCCTTGTGCTCGTGGCTTGTCTTTGCCTAGCCAGGAAGGACTGTCCTGAGCCTGTACTGGCCAGTCTGTCTTCTGCCGCTTTTTTGTGCAGAGTCATCCCCTATGGACAAAGAGAAACTTCTCAGTGAATACCAACACATAACACTGAACAACTTCATTAAATTACGTTTCATTTATTATCTCCTTCTTCACCAACACTGACTAAGTTATTTTGAATTTCATACACAAGGCATCATCAATAAAGGTATGACATTCTTTCTAATACTTCGCATGGAGTTCTTTCCTTTCCCCTCCCTGTGTCAACTGCTTATCCACATAAACTGACAGTAACTGGACAAGTCTTTCACCCACAACTCCTGAGCTCCTTTCAGCATGCTGAGCGCGAAAAATACTTCTCTTCTGAAAACAGTTTAAGTATTGCCATCCTCTGTGAAAACGCCGCCAGCTCATGCCAGGAGCACACCTTGAGAGAGAGTATGTTTTCATCAGGTGTAATGCAAGAAGGAAATGACAAAAGCTGCAATGGGTTGTGTCTTTGTGTATAAAAGCAGAGGCTAATTAAAGAATAACACAGACAAAACTATCAGTTATCATCTTAGTGTTCATGACAGGTCTTAGCTCAGGCTTGTCTTTCATTTGTCAGTGGGACTATGTTATAAAAGAGGTCAGTAACACTAGTCAGTTGAAAATGCCTTCAGTATTTAAATGATCCAAACACTCTGCTCAAGTTTAGGCTTGCTATTCATGGACACAACAAGGATGCAGAACAGCAAGAAGAAAACTTTTCCAAGGGAATATAGAGGAATTTCAATTCTACGATGGAGCAGAACGAAATGTGAAAGCTACATGGGTCAAGGAGTCTTGAACACGTTTGATGAAGGTGACAACTCTCCTGGCATTCAGGCCCAGCAAAAGCTGTATGGCTGCAGGGATCACTTCTTCTATTCACACTTACAGTTTTAAGTGAGGACCTTGCTGCTGTGCTTACCCTTTGCATGGGGCTAAATTTGCACCCAAGTTAAAGGGGTTATTTCTCAGAGCACTTACTGCAGCAATTAAGCTGAACTGCTTTTCTTGTGCCCCTTCATCAGAAGTAACCGGAAGACTGGAGAGTGAAGAATCAAAGTAAATTTGAGCAGTGTAACGTAGTGTAACTCAAGGGCTGGGATTACAAAAGAGTGATCCGAGTCATTTATGACTTTTTAAAACTTGAAAATTACAAACATCTTCTTTTTCATTTACCCCAAGGTTATGATGGGAACATACCTATATAATGATAGTTTAAAATTGCTAAAAAGTATTTCTGTGTTTGT